TTTTATCGCTTCGGTGTACAGGATATTATTCTTCCAGAAAAATATCAAACAGTTGAACGTTGAATTCATGGAGATGATTGTTTTTGTCCAAAGCCAGGATAGCCGTACATTAGACGAGTTGGCGTTTGTTGAAAAACTGAGAGCAATGAAAATGATCGTCGGAATAACCAGGATCACGTAGCAAGCGACTGCGAGAAAACAACTGGAGACGGATTTCAACCTTTTTGAGGTCTCCACATAGCGTGTTGCTGCATTTTTTCGCATTTCTCGTGATATCTTTAACAATTTGTAGTTGAAGAAGAGGAAAGGGGGAGTGATGATTGAGAAAAAAATCACTGCTCCCATTTGACCCGATATGACCAAATTATTGGACGAAATCAACGCCAAGATCAAGTAAAGAAAGATAGAAAGAGCCAGTAAAAGGAGCAGCTTTCGTTTGTTAAATGATACTCGATGAAACAAGGGATATGCTGTTGACAAATATCGTTCAAAACTCATCACTAAAAGTGCAAGTAACGAGCAGCCAAGGAAGAATTTGCTTATATCCAAATAGATTTTCAGTTTGGATAACACTTGATAATTTTCAGCTAACCAAATCGCAGAGTAGGTCGTCTGGATTGTGTGATTCGTCATCGCCGCGAGGAGGTCGAAGCAGGACAGAAGCATTATCGTGTAATGACATAATCTCTTTCGAAGTTGGTGAGATTTCCAAAAACTGAGAAGGACGAGGGAATTTAGGGTTATTCCTGTGAACATAAACACGACATTCACGACGCACAGAATGGTCAGGTGGATGTAAATAGACGCATCCATCAGGCTACAGTAAAACTTGTTTCTTTCCTGCATGAAGAACATAAAATACCGTCATAATTACTTTAATTGATGAAATTGATCATGATTAAGACGAACGTAATATTTTACAAAAAAAATAAACTGAATATAACTAATCATGCCCAACCCCATAAGGAAATTTTGGCTAAACTGGCGCATGCGCAAAAACTCTTCCACCTGGCCGTATATACCTGGAATATGAAAAATTTGCTCTGCCTTGTGGTACGGTTTAGGCCGTTGGTTGAAATATATATGTAATTTAGCTTGATCCGAAATAGATTTATATTTGCTTTGATAATGTTTCATATAAGACCCTTAAATAAATATTAAGTGTACATCATGATGTTTTTGATGAACTCGGAAAAACATCCACAGACAGGACAGGATTTGGCCACGCGATGTGATTTTTAGGACTTTTTTAATTTCTGAAAGCAAATAAATTTTATCCTGTCAAAATATTCTTGCTGATTACTAGTCGGAAGCCAACGATTAAAGCAAAGTTAGTCTAAATTAAGGGTCCAAAAAAGCTTCACATATATTATATTATAAACAGTGGCGTAGCCAGTCCGACTATTCAGTCATGCTTTGCTAATATTTTGGTGTTCATTGACTGTGAAAACAATTAATTTTTAAAGAAATGAATAATGATAATAACATAAAATTTGCATAGCATGAGTTATGACTAAATCGTCAGGCTGGCTTCGCCACTGATTATAAATTTATAATATAGATTCACTCCAATCTATAATTTTATAAATTTAGTACAACGATATATGAAAGTTAGACGTTTCCTGAAGAGTGGGGGGACTATTAAACCGAATTCGACGTTGCACCTGTGAAAGCTTTGAATGCTTGTGTTCTGTAGAAAACACGGGCATGTCTAATTTTCCTCAAAAACATCGAGGACTCGGTCTAAAATTCCCGTGGGACTTTCAATATTCAATTTTATTTACTAGCAAATCTATTGTTAAAGTGGACCTTGATCGATCGACTGTCTCTAATATGTTCTAGGCGTTCCCAAAACTTATTTTGCTTGGCAAATAGAACGCCAACGCATGAAAAAAACTAATAAAAATTAGATTACATTGAACTAAATTGAACGTTGTACTCTGCGGCGTGCATGGGCTGATGAGACCGTTCACTTTCGTGGTGCATCACTTTGGCAACCGTTATAATTACCTTCGATGTTATTTAGAGAAGAGCTTCAAGAAAATTCGGGAACTTCATATTCTTAGTTGACAACATTCGTAGCTTAAATATAGAGCAGCAATACATTCATGTATAATTTAAGCCCTCTTTGGTCTCCAAACTTTCTTTTAATTAAGCCTCTTCCTCAGGAAAAATAAGCTTTATCCAGGCCAAAAACGAAATATATATATGAACCTCGAACATCAGTTACACTCTTATACAAGGCTTATTATTATAATAGGAATCTTTGTATATTAGTTTTCTAGCTGTGTATATGCGTTTTAATTACTTTGTTATATTTTAATGTTGCTATAGTGAAATTCTACATGCATTATGAACCCCGCACAAGAGATGACTTTGGATTAGGAAGTAAAAAGACTTTATATTAGTGGCATTTTATTGCATTCTTTCATATTTTTTTGATCTGGACTACCAGTTTTTGACATATTATAATTTATGTTGTAGAGTTTTTAAAGACAATGCCTGAAGAGCAGCTGCATGTTTCATGTCCGTCGAGTTTAATCCGTTCAACATGCAAGCACATACAGAATTTTTAATAATGCGGTGTTTATCACATAAATGTATACACACAAAAATAGGCAAATTCTCTGTCTTTTTTTGGACTAAAACTTTAACACACAATGCATGCGTTTGTTCGATAAAGCAGTTTGAGACTCGATTGGTAGACAAATATTTCAGCAAATGCATGACATACTTCAATTATATCCAAAAATACCCAGAAAATATTTGCTTTTATTTAGGACATCTTACCGCGCGTTAATTACTTTTTCTCAGGTGCAATCCAGAGCAAAGTAATCCATTTTTGTTTAAGTTTCTACGCTTATATTATTTCTCCTTCCTACAAGACAAATATTTCACGCCCAAAATGCCATATAAATAGTTTATCCGCGTATATATCTACAGAATGCCCATGGAAACCTAATGTTCATTTTCGTCCATTGAAAGCGATCAGCCAAGTAATAATTATGTATAACATACCTGCTGTGCTCGAAGTTGAAGTGTACATAAAGACGGACTTAATTCTTTTAATACAGGCCAATAAAATCGCGTATTCAATACATCCACGCATGTAATTTTGAGAGAGGTCAAAGTTGTCGGTACAAGTTTAACTTAATCGTCTTTTTCCCAAGCCAAATTATTCATGTCTCTTTGGCAATCCCTCCAGATGGTAACAGCTGCACGAAGTCTCATGAAACTATAGCTGCAACCAGACGTCGCTTTATCGCTGCATTTTAACCGGTGGGAAAGACGTGCTTTGTAAAATAACTCGCTCCGCCCACGTTAGAATCACTCAATAAAGGCTTCCGCAAAAAAGCAAACCGCGGTTGATCAATATCGCTGAGCAATAAATTACTACAATTCAAACCGTGCACGTAAAAATGAATTATCCTACTTTATCCAACTGCCATGTTTTTAAGCTCACGAAGGTAATAGGCCTGTATTATCTTACAGTTGATCATTAAGATATAAATTACTAAAAATTACCCGAAAGTTTAATTTGCGGCGTCTTATCTTAGATTCAGTCAAAATAAGATGTCCACTGCATGATCATTTCCATTTTTTCCAACTCTATGTATAGATTATAAGATATATGAGTCCGGATTTCCACTTTCAGAAAAAGAGTTCCCTGGCGAAATATTTGCATATTTTTTTGCAATTATTTTGATTTCAAATATTTGCAATTTTGACAGAATAAATAAATTAGTTCAGCTTGACTGTTCTCATTTGAAAAGAGAATGTGCAAATATTACGCTACCAACCGTTTCTCTGCAAGTTGAATTCCAGCCTAGGAAAATATATATGCAAATATTTCGCTAGCGACCTCTTTCTCCGCAAGTGGAAATCCCCCCTGAAAGTTTTCCGAATACTAACTCTATAGTTGTGATAGACAGCCAAGACAGGCAAACTAATGTTGTCTTTATATATATACATGCAGGCAATTTACATATTAAAGTTTTTTGAAATATTGCAAATTTAAAACGCAACTGAATGCGTTTGTATAAACTTCGGATTGTACATATTGAATAATAAGCCAGTCTCACCACATCAGATTTGGCTTTAAAAAAGGGAGGAATACGAACAATGAAAACAAGGCCGTCCATTTCGACGATTCAATAGACCTTAAGGCCGATTTTCACTTCGACCGTATCATAGCGTATATATTTGTATGTTTCCGGAGTATTCGACCAAACCTATGATAACTTTAAAACAAAGAGATACGCTATATACGTTTCGCTAAGATACGGTTGAAGTGGAAAACGACCTTTTAAGGCATGTTTTTCACTTCAACCGTACCATAGTGAAACGTATACATATCATCGATTACTCCAGAAACATATAGAAATACGCTACGTTGCGCTAAGATACGTACGGTTGAAGTGGAAAACAGGCCTCATGATTTCATAACGGCGACATGTATAACATGACGACGCGTATTCAAACCTAGCTTCTATTTATTTGATTGTAATTGTGAAACGTGATTGATGCTTTAGGATATTGCTGTCTATGCATGTACATCGACTAATTTGAATGCCGAAAATAATTAGACTTTTTTCAGACGTCCATCTTTTCAGGTGCCAAACCTGATGTTGAGCTGAAGTTGCATTGGATTCCTTCCGGCTCCCCCCCTGAAAAAAAGTAGCCGGCAGTTGCTTATTTTTCTTTGTCGCTAGCATTTCAATTCACACCTTCAATTTTATAATTAAAAATTTGGTATTTATCATTTATATGTGCATTTTCAATAATGCGCAGTTTATTTTTTTTTTAAAGAATCCAGCTTCGGCCCGATTTCTAATTAATCTGCCTACGATTCATGTTATTCATACCGATTGCTAACTTCATCTGCCGCATGCATGTATCGCCTGACAACTTTGCGTACGATTCATGTTATTCGTTATTATCTTTTTATGAATTTCTGTTTGAAATTTAGTATTTACATGTTTATTATGAATTGTGTTCAGATATTGGGAGTCAATAAGAAAGTGGAATGAAGCTATTCAACTCGCCCCTGACGATGATGTACTTCATGAAATGAAAGCTCAGGTGAGAATGAAAATATATTTCTTCCAATCAACCCGATGCATGCATGCATGCATGGTTAAATGGTTAAATGCACATTTTGAACAGGAATATTATATGAGCGTCCAAACCCGTTTAATCGCGTTTATAGCTATATCACAAAACAGTTCGGTGTCCCCCAATTTTTTTTAATGAAAAGTTTACACTATATATAGATGCTTTATTGATAGAAAAATTCTGTAATAGGTGATGCTAATTTCAAAAAAACGTTATTTTAGTTCTTTATAAAATGCCCATTACATAATTTTTTAAAACTTCAATATAGATAAGCCATCTGTATATATGTGAACAAACGGCTGCTAAGCACAAGTCTTGAATAGAATACTGCATGCTCTAGATATTTTTCTTGAAACTATTTCAACTTTTAGTCCTCGGGACAAACAATAAACATGCATATTTTACGTTTCCTGTCTTCTCGTTAAACAGGTTCTACTTGAATTGGACGAAATCTTCCCAGCAATTCAGGAGGCAGAGATGGCTGTGTCCCTCAACCCAAGGTGCCCAAACTCTTTTCAGACTCTTGGTCGTGCGCAAGTCGCATTTGGTGAAATTGAAATGGTTTGTAGATATATAGAACCTTTGCATATAACATCAAAGTATAGGTATTGAATGTTAACTAGTGAAGGCATTTTATTTCGTTTAAATGTTCTTCTCAACTGTATAAACCTTTACCCCTTGCCTGGAATTTTTTTTAGCAAAACAAGGAAGCGTTTTGGCCTGTTCTAAAGGCGTTTAGCTTTTATATAAGTTCAAAATGGAAATAAAATAATCTATTTATTGAACAACTGAGATGAAATATTTCGATGTAAATAGTTTAATCGTCAATGAAAGTACATATTGAATACATAAGATTCAGGCTCAGTCATTCGTACAAGATCTATGTGAGTATTTTTAAACTTTGGCTTATCCGCCGTTTTCGCTATAAACGCCTCTTGAACAACCGGCCCCTGGAGGATAACACGTAGGGTTCTGTATAGCGATACATAGAACTATATACATCAACAACAGGTGCTTTAAATGACATTGCAATGTGCTGCGGTTGTGCTGTGGTTTTATATATTATTTAAACGAATCTTTGTCACCAAGAATGTGCTGACAATGGTCTGCCGATATTGTCATTAAACCATTGAATTTCTTCTTTTCTTTGTTCATATAGGCAATTATCAATTTCTCAAAAGCCTTGCACGCTAAACCGGATTCCGACGAGGTAAATGATGAAGGACAAGCAAATTTTAAACACATTTCATTGATCCTGTCGTGACGTCATTTATGCAAGTAGGTCTCATAATGAAACAAGATGTCGGTTAACGAATTTTTTTTTCATTAAGATACGGAATGAAGATCTCAGCTGGGCTTTAGATCTGAGAAAGGAGAAAAACGAAAGAGAAAGCAGTGATGCCACGCCACGTAGCCAAGAAAACCCACCATAAATGTTCGAAACTTGCATCGCTGATGCCCTCGTCCCTTCTAGAAAGTCCCTCGGATGAAACAAAGCTTTTGAAATTTCTTTGGCGAGGAATTCTTATTGAACCAAATGCTGCATGAAGACTACCTTGTATCAAGGTTTGAAGTAGTTACGGTGTTAATCTGTGAAAGATACATAATTCCTAATTTCTTTGGCAAGGAATTCTTAACCAACCAGATGCTGACGACTACAAGGTTTGAAGTAGTTAGTAGTAGTTAGCGTTAATCTGTGAAAAATGCCTACAGCATATTCATGCTGGAAGATTCCTTGCAGAAAACAACGAAAAATTCGTTGTCGTGCATGTGCGGAGTCTGAACCTCAATTCTGTTAGACGTCACACTACGATTAGCCTTTTTCATAATGAAGAATAATCGCCATTTTCGGCATCTCTTTCAGGTCTCGTACGACCAATGTGTAGCGATGACAAAATTTTTAAAAGCTAATTGTGAAAAATAGTTATTCGTTTATTGTAAAAAATTGCTTTTCAATTTTCAGCATGTAATTGTTTACACCCGCCATAGAAAATCAAAGTACCCTCAAAATGGTATATTCATGAAATGAAAAGGGCTGATTAAGCTATCAGGAAAATAGAATTTCATGGTAGTATGAATTAGCCAATATTAAGACACGGAGATATTTTCGTGACAACGCTTGTCAGGAAAGAATCGGAGTGTGTTACTTCTGTTTCGGATTTTTCTAAAGTGGGAAATATGAAATTCATATCACCCCTATGCAAAACAACCGTCTATCATTTTTTAAATCGCTTGAGGATGATTCTGAGATAGTTGTGCATGATGTTATTGCAAGGTGCTGTTCGGTTCGGTTCGGTCGTTTTTTCAAATTCATTGACAAAAAGCGGTACATGTCTCATGGAATGCAACTTTTATTTTTTAATGGACCTTTCCCCTTTTATCTTTCACACGCGCAATGTGCGACAGTAGTTGATTATCAAGCAACCTTCAGTTGCGAAAAATATAAAATTCGAAAAATTCGTTGAACCTTCGCGATGAATATTATAAAATTCATGCTGCTTCATATATTAAAGAAACAAGTTGTTGGCTAAAAATCTTTCGAAAAACTGCACGCTAAAATTCTTCTCCATATACACATACATGCATTCCTAATTGCAATATTACAAATAATTGTTCCATGCGAATTCAATTAAGGGATCGAAAGCTTCATCCATCATGCATGCAGGAAATTCGCAAATCGTAGCCATTGAGAAACGGCAATTACATGATTAAATGTGCTCCACAATTTGCGTGCTTGCCTTGCACACATAAATCCATTGATCTCCAACAGTGACACAACTTATTTTCTATATCTCTAAACAATGTCAGTATAGCCTTCATTGCACCATTTGATTAAATGCATAAATGCTTCTGATGCATAAGTTTTTTTTTCGAATTCAAAGTTCAGGTCGTTGTTGCTCTTTGCTATCGGATCCTGTCATTTTTTGTGATAATGTATCTAAGACCTCCATCAATCATCCCATTTACCTCGAAAGTTGACGAGGGTTTCAACTTCTCTGCACCTTCTACGTAAATAATCATGGCATTTAATCGACCTAGAGCTGAACGAATGACTAAATTTAACTTTTCTTTTTGTTTGTGGTAATTTTTCCTCGATCTTTCGGCTTCTTTTTGTTTCCGATCCATTTTGATTTGACTTTGGTTAATTTCACAAACCCTTTTTTATGCGAGCAGGGATGGCTAAATTATATCATATGATCTGTTCTTGATTTTTCTTGTTTTTCTTTTACACTACTGACGTCCCTCAAAAGAGGTATCGAAGTTCATGATGGCTTCTTCAACCATCTTCTCCTCCTCTACTGTTTTTTCAGCGCTGTATGCCGCTTCAAATTTGAGAACGACGCCAAAGTCCTCACTAAGCATGAGGAGTAAAAGAGTAAAACTCCTTCAGCTTCTCCGACTCCAACTTTTTCTGTCTCCTTCTCTCTCTCTCGTTTGGCTGCACGTTGCTTTGGGTTCTCCATCGAGGATGAGATTGGTTTTCTCTCCTTCCAAGCATGCGTTTAAAATGCACTTGGTGGTATAGGCCCAACTAACGTTTGATTCTCGGCAGTGTTGAAAAGGTGAGGGAAATAACCCTTTGCAAGTTCAGTCGATATCTTAATTATCATTAAGCAGTCACAATTATTTAGTCTTATTGCACATGGCCCGTCAGAAATCCTTTTTTTTTAGAGTTTGCATGTCTTATTACATTCTAGTTATGAACGGAAATCTGTCCTAGCTGAAACACAAGAAATGGTTTCTAGAATAATTTTTACTTCAAAAATGACATACTCACGAGATTTTAATTAACACACAATAATCTAAAATAGCTGGCATAGAACTGACTTGATGACGTACCTTATCCACCGAAATTTTTTCGTCCCACAGTTAAAGGAATCACTATTTGTTGCTTCAAAGCTGCCATGAGAAGAGCGGTTAATATGATTTGTTTGTAATATACAGCTGAACAAGAACATTTAACGTTGACTCTGGGTATTCTTGCAGCACGTTGAGTTAGGGAGCCCTCAGTCTCTGAAGAGCGTACATATAGAACTGACTTGATGACGTACCTCCCACATGTATGATGGGTCTTTGCCATCAATGTCCTTGGTATCAATTGGTATAAAATACGATACTTGGTATAAAATACGACCATTCATAACTCTTACATTGAATATTTTAACACACAAATAAAAAAAACTAATCCAAAATATACTTCAAACAATTAGTTAAACTTCTCCGAGGTCATCTTGAGGGGGATAAGGGTATAAGATACGGTTGAGATGTCGGGATCAATGATGGAGGTGATGGGGTTTTGGGTGTTTTAAAAAAGTGGAGTGATACAGTCTGATATTACCACCATTGTTTTTACTGCAATGTTTCCACATATCAGAGGGTTTTCGCGTACATCTATAACGTACAAATATTGGGCCAAATTTTTAAGATCAACTGTCGAGGATGATTAAATAGTTTATCTGCTTTTGGGACAACCAAAGCATTCCAAATTAATTGAGGGGATTCTTAGTTTTCTTAAAAAAACCCTTTCCTTTTTGTTTTTTGTCTTTTCTTGATTTTTTTGTGTGTTTTTTTACACTACTGACGTCCCTCAAAATAGGTGTCGAAGTTCATGATGGCTTCTTGAACCATCTTCTCCTCCTCTACTGTTTTTTCGGCGCTGTAGGCCACTTCAAGTTTGAGAACGGCGCCAAAGTCCTCACTAGGCATGAAGGAGTAAAACTCCTTCAGCTTCTCCAACTCCAACTTTTTCTGTCTCCTTCTCTCTCTCTCTCGTTTGGCCGCACGTTGCTTTGGGTTCTCTATCGAGGATGAGATGGGTTTTCTCTCCTTCCAAGCATGAAAAAGGTGAGGGAAATAACCCTTTGCAAGTTCAGTCATTCCGAACGTTTTTGGAAAGTTAGCAAGTTTCATCGGAATAAAACATAAGGAGTCAATAAACTTAATATTAAACATTGGCACGTTAATTGTAAGAAGTTTGGCTCCACGTAAAATAACACTAGGAACAATCCCCTGCTTATGTAAGTATTTCAATACAAAATAACCGTCATAGCCTTGAAAGTTATGAGCTATCACAATACTGCCAGCGTTCTCTTTCTGAAATAACCATTCGCAAAAATCTTCTTTTGTACGTTCTTCCCGAAAGATGTTTTCATTACCCAATTCATCACGTACTACGCAAAGATTTGGAACATGCGTGCCACTTTTTTGCGTACATTCAAAATCGAAAAATAGCAGTTGATTGAATGCACTATCATTTTCGCTGGGTTCGTTATCTTCGCTGGGTTCGTTATCTTCGTGGGCGTCATTGTCTAAATGTTCGCCAGACTCAGAATCCACCGTTCGGGAGGTTTTTGCCCTGTCGGGTTGCATGTAGCACAAATGGTTCTCACCGTCCACGTATAATTTTGGCACACGGCACAACGAACAAGTCCGCAGTTATGCAGTTCGGGTCTTATTTTGCTTCGTTTGACATTATTTGTTATTACAGCCTGACAGCTACAACACTTAACCAATGAATCGCAAATGGTTTCTGCATTCCCTATACTTTGTTTATGTTTATGAAGACATTCCAGACTTTTGAAATAACGATTACAATCGTTACACCGAACCCATGAAACAATCGGACAATTTTGAGAATAGCACAATTTACAAGTATCCCCGCATAAATGATCTCGTAACTTATCGTATCCTTTCTTACATGTATGACAAAACCTTTTTCTGGAAAAAAACGCAGGCATGCTGGTTATGACATCATAATGATTATCATGCAAATACAAGTAAATTCTTTTTCCTTATCCGGCCCGGAAAAAATAATACAATTCTGGTGTTCCTTCGAAACAATATTAATCTGATACTCATTCAAATGAGTTTGTAACTGTTTTACTTATTCTAAACCACACTCCGTTAAAGGTACCCCAGATTTCTCATGCAATTCGTGTGCCAGTCGTGTTTGTAACGTGCTATTATCCGATTTCGTTAAATTTCTGTATTGTTTATCATCTTCAATTTTTGCTATAGAAACCGCAAGCGCTCTCGCCAAACAAATCTTATCGCTGTTTTTAATGCGGACAATTGAGCGTTTATTTGAATAGGTACTTGTCTAAATTGATTTCTTTACGTTTGTTTCCTGTCCCCCCATTAGGCATCTCAACATGTACAATTTAACATTAACCGAATCATTAAGTCGAAACTCATCGATTTCCGTCAAAACTCGTTCGGATGTTAATCTTTCCCGGGGCATGAAAGGTAAAGAAATTGGATATTCCAATTGAGACGAGCGCAAAACGAAACGGACCTGATCGTGCATCGGCACACCATTTGTCACTGTCTCCAGTAAACTTCCAAATATTTCATGGAGGCGATTATGATATTGCCATAGCTCCAAATTGGAAACAGTATTAATGAATTGAATGTCATAATCTAGGCTTGTCGTGCCAAACTTTTTAACCTTGAGTTGTTTTAAATGTTTTACAGTAAAAAAAGGTAAATCGTCCCTTACTTCCTCGTCTTCCTCATCTTCTCCGTATAGTTAATCAATTGTTCGTTTTCCATAACCCTCTTGAATATTGTCATCGCTCCAATCGTTGACCAGTCTCTGCCTCGCTTTAGGAGTCCATGAGTCGCTTAGGCTTCCCCCTATACCAAGGGATTCATTTTCTTGACCCCATTCGATAAGGCGGGAAATGATTTTAATTCTTTGCTCAAACATTATATTGCGTTCAAACTAATGGAAATTGCTCTTCCAGCTCCACGAGCTGATTCAGCATGGTTGCTTGTTTGATGGTGCATGGTAGATAAATCCATAGCAAAGCAATGAAAAACAACAGCTTTAGCGCGTGTAAACGAGACCTCAGATGTTGTAACGTCAGCCTTTTAGGTATGTTGCGCGGGGTTTACGCGTTTGGTTAGGAATATTTTCGGAAATTGGCGGAAAATGTTCGAAACAACATCAAAAAAAAGTTTAATTGATTATATATTTTATGTAACCTTTTTTGTATAAAAAACGAGCAAAATGTGCAAGAAAATCTAACACGAAAAGTATAACAGCTGGTATAATAGTGATCATAAGAATATGTGTAACTAAATGTTTAAATAATTAAAGTTAATGCTCCGTTTGTTTTTCTAACCATAAAGCATATGCCTCGGTAGAGGCGTACCACTTCTCGAACTCGATAACCATGTCAAAGTCCTCTTGACATAAAAAGTCGTAGAGAGCCTTAAGCTTCTTTAACCTCTCTTTTTCTCTTCTCCTTAAGGAGCCGGGGTTTTTTTGTTTTTCTTATTTTTTTTTCATCTTTTCACTCTTGGATCATGTGGACAAAGAGGTCATGATTCACGTGTACAGTGACCCTGAGGAATGAGGTTTTCCATCACGTGAACAGGGATCATCGAACATGTGAAAAGTAGGAGGTAAATGAAAGCGCAGATACATATTTGATTAGGTTTTATTTTAATATGGTATAAATCTGAGTAATTATGCTACATTGGGTATTTTAATTGACAGATACAAAAGACATGGTCTAAAAAATAGTCCAAACATTTGGTTAAGTTAGTTCCCTTTTGCCTTCGGTATGAAGTTAGGAGTTGTAAGTATGGTGTATTGAATATCAGTTCGAATTCTCTTTGGGTTTTTTCGGAGAGTTTTCCGTAATCCAAAATATTAAACGCTTCTTTGATAATTTTCCACACGTTCTCTCCCTTTGCCTTGGCTTCGTTGACGGATATCCACCAACTAAGCGATCTTGTTTTTGAATTTGCTTTTCGATAAATCTGATGATAATTTTAGCCATAATCTCTTCCCTGGCTAACGTTTTAACCGTTGCTAGATCAGCGTTGTACATTTGCTTAATCACTGTTGTCGTACTTAGATTAAACCCGACAATATTGTCGGGAAGAAGGAAAACTAAATATCTCGGCAAGTATTTGGGCTAAAGACCCTAAAATACCACCAAACGGTAGAGCTTGAAAAGACGATTTAAATAATATATTCAAACCAGCATATAGTGATAAGCTGCATTTGTATTATAAGTCAAAACACGAGTCAAAATAATAGGTTGCTTTGTTATTTCAAATTACTCACCCATAGCAACCATATACTTTAGAAATTCCGTATTTTCTCGCTTTTTTTGTTCTCTGTTGTCTTTAAAATGTTTGCATTTTACATATTATCATTCTGTTATAATTCTGAGTAATTTTTAGGGTAAGATGTGCAAAAGAATTGATTTAGAAATTAAACCGTTGTAGTTAGCGTAGGTTGAGAATAAAACACTTCTTCACTGGAATCAGAGGCCCATGCCATCTCGATATTTTCAATGTTCACAGCTGTAGCGGTCTTCGTAATCGCAACATTCGGAACCGTACGCATGAGCAGAAAATAAAAATAGTCACGGCGAATATTAGAAGTATTATTATTCCATAACCGCTGGTTTTGACTTGGAGCTGGAATAAGTAATTGTTGTTGGGTTAATAGCTGCTAAAGGAGTTGTAAAAGGAAGATTAGATTGTCGTTGATGTTGCGAATGACTGTGTAAATGTGACGGAGGAATGCTGAAGTCGGACGCCAATGTTTGAAATTTTGAGGGAGATGAGGGTATAGGATCGAAGTTGAGAATGAAGGCGATACAACAAGGTAGGGAGAAATGGAAGTTTTCGGCGTAGGTAATGGTTGAATTAAGGTTTGGGTGACAAAGTTGGAGGTGAATACAGAGATGTAGGTCGGGTTGATGGTTGAGGTAATGG